CTGAGTTGACAGGCAGAGCTCTAGGTTGTTCCAGGGGGAAAGGTGGATCAATGCACATGTATGCTCCCAACTTTTATGGTGGGCATGGGATAGTGGGGGCACAGGTGAGTATACACCTATACTCTTCCATCATGTCTTCATCCATGTTCAAAGATATTTCTTTTTTAGTGTCCACTGGGTGCAGGAGTAGCATTTGCTCACAAATACCTTGAAGACAAAGGGGTGTGTCTGACACTCTATGGGGACGGAGCAGCAAATCAAGGTCAGCTGTATGAGGCCATAAACATGGCCAAACTCTGGAACCTTCCATGTCTGTTTATTTGTGAAAACAACTTATATGGTATGGGTACAAGCACTGACAGGTCGGCTGCAAATAATGAGTACTACACCAGGGGTCACTATATACCAGGGATACAGGTACAGTACAGTATTTATAACATAAATTTCAGTCACTTTATAAAAAAAGAGCTCAAGTTCTGGTGAATATAGTTATCAAAATTTTCAGGAGGAAATCAATCTGCAGTTAAAGATAATGTTTGGGTACTTTGTTCCCTTCAATGACAATACTGTACAAAAAACAAATCCAGCACTCAGCACCTGATATATGATTTCAAAGAAGACAGCATAAATTTGTTTCTCCTCTCATGCAAATTTCATCAATGAAGCAAAATGGAGCTCTCAGAGAAGCTAGAATCAAATTTTAAGGAAAAGCAATATTAATTTATATGCGTGACTTTTTTATTTATTTCTCAAGATGGATGGTATGGATGTCCTTGCTGTCAGGGAAGGAACACGGTTTGCAATGGACATATGCAGGGAAGGCAAAGGACCAATTATGATTGAAGCTAAAGCATATAGGTACCATGGTCAATTTTTTGCGATCAGAAAATGACGAAATGAGAATTACAAGATTTTAACATGAGGGTGAACGGAACTCATATCACAACGTCTATTTGTCGCGTGACAACAGAAGCAGCAGCATCAAGTGACGCAAGTGGATTACAAAAGCAACATGACGCATTTTTCTGGATAAGACTCGCCGCAATGCGTAACTCCATGGATTTTTGACGAGCCCGAGGTTCCAACAAAATGCGTCATATCACAGTGGCAGGATTTACATACAATGGATATTTCCCCGTCGTCTACGGAATTTTCTAGAAAATTGGAAATCCTGAAGTAAGTAATCCTGCCCTGCGTTGTTGCGAACAATAATAGATTTCGAATGATGATGACCTTCTGCATTTCTGGATCGAAGACGCAATTCCTGAAGTACAGTACAGCGATTACTTTAGGAACAGCGCTGTATAGACACATGATAACAAAAATATTCATTTTCAGGCCGCTCTTTCTTTAGCTTAGATCATGCTTTCAGCTCGTATTCAATACGTTTTCTCATGAATAGTTCGGAATTCTTTTAAGCATGCACCCTCAAAACTATCCAAAACGCCGATTTGGAGACCAGTTAAAGTCAAGGGCTGGAGAGAAAACTGGTCTTCATTCTTATACAGTACAAAAATCTGGGAAATACCGTTTGAAGTGTTCATAACCACATCCGGTTCCTAAACTGGAATCTTATCTCGATTCACATAATTACAGGCGACAACGGACTCCGATCCGAAAAACCAGCTCATCGACATCCGGAAGACTACTCCTAAAGCTAAATCAAGAAAAACGAGATTTTCTTCGGTCAAGTTTGACCAATTCTTCAAGAAAGAACTACTGAATCTCAACACGCTGATTAGCAGTTGACATCCGGGTGTTCGCGATCAGAAAAGTCGAAGTCATCATCATCGGGCATCTCAACGGACCGAGAGAGCAATGCGCAATCTTTTGCTCATCATCATCTTTTGATGATCGTCAATTAATCGGAAAATGAACGACTCACCGTTTGCAGTTAATCCCGTCCCGGCAAAAACGAGTGCATTGACTTCACATCAAATGTACCGTACTTCAGGATTTCTACATCCAATGACGACACGCAAAAGCGGGATTATCCAAGCGGAACAAAATCAATAAGTAGCACAATGACTTTCTCTAAAATCGTGTTTTCACTATGGGTTCGAAACACGGGTTGACCCCTTCAAGTAATTCACATAATTTGATCGTGCATTCGTTCAGTTTTTCTTAGTTTGATGACATCCGTTTAATTGATCCGGATCATCCATCAAACGTAACTCCGGAAGAACATGCTCAAGCCCATATAGGATTATCTTGTGTCTAATCTGTCGACAACTTCCTTTCAGCATGAATCAAAATGTCAAGAATAAGTGAAGTCAGAATCCACATCAGAATATAACGAAACCACACTGAGTCATACACGTCTCACATCATCACTACCGAGAAGCAGGTGAAGAAACGATTACTGCTGTATACACAATATGTGCACTGCTGGTCACAAGAGGCAACGAATGCAAGAACCCACAGCGTAGTCATATGTGTCAACAATTTGATTCAGAGAGATTTTCATCTCCACACCAGGCTTAGAAAACTTCTCAATGTTCAACGGTATCGGAAATTTGTCAATTCGTCCGAAAAGTCGACCGGGAACTGAAGGTCAGGGGTTCAACGGTTTACCGCGAAACCCCCTTAATTGAGGTTGAGGAGAACCCATACAAAGCGTGGTTGAGCAAAAATTTGGCTACAATCAATGATTTAATCCAACAGTCAGAAATAGTGTTTCATCTTATTATTCGAATTCAGAAAGCAGTCCTCTTCGAAAATGTAAATGAAAAATCACAGATCATATTATATTCGATGGTGTTGTACATCTTAGTGCCACTTGTTCATATTTCAGGCAAAAACAAAAAAGGAGGAATGCTCTTCCAAAAATAATCTTCCAAATGAAAGTGAGCCCTAATTCTATCAAGCAGAATTTTTACAGTTCTTTTCTGTTCTCTATTATACTACAGTAAGACCCCAGCTGATTGTGGGGCCGCTAGCTGAGTTGACAGGAGACATTGAGGCATGTGACTGAATTGATGCTGAGACATTATTTTAAAATTCCCTCAGATACACAGAAATAGTTTTCTAGTTCTGAAGACCAACACATAATCTGTATATAGGTGCAACTTTCAAGTGATGGCATCACATACAGTTAAACAAAGTATGTTAATCAGAACATCAGGATGAATTTATTTTTTTAGACATCATGCATGCAAGTACAGCCAAAAAAACCAACAAACCATGAAGGTTTTTGTTGTTCCCATCAATTAATCATTTACTATATTCACCACACACAAAACATGCTCCTGTCCAACCGCATGCTGGTTAAAATGGGCCAGCGGTTGGCAGCAGGGGCTTCATCAAATTGCAGGCATGCCTCTTTTGAAATATCAGAGGTAATATATTCACTGCAACAGAAAAACCTATGAAAGGTTGGGTATAATGCAATGGATATGCTTCATATAGCCCTTCAAGACCTATGAGTTACCTGATGCCAAAATGCCAACAAAGGCCTCACTGACAAAAGAGCAAGGTTTACAGTATTACAAGGATATGCAGATGATAAGACGCATGGAAACTATGTCATCCAACTTGTACAAGGAGAAGTTCATCAGAGGATTCCTCCATTTGTACTCTGGCCAGGAAGCCATTGCTGTTGGCATGAAAGCTGCCATGGAACCACAGGACTCCATCATCACATCATACAGAGAACATGGCTGGGCTTATGTCATGGGGGTGGAACCAGTTGGGGTGCTGGCTGAGTTGACAGGCAGAGCTCTAGGTTGTTCCAGGGGGAAAGGTGGATCAATGCACATGTATGCTCCCAACTTTTATGGTGGGCATGGGATAGTGGGGGCACAGGTGAGTATACACCTATACTCTTCAATCATGTCTTCATCCATTTTCAAAGATATTTCTTTTTTAGTGTCCACTGGGTGCAGGAGTAGCATTTGCTCACAAATACCTTGAAGACAAAGGGGTGTGTCTGACACTCTATGGTGATGGAGCAGCAAATCAAGGTCAGCTTTATGAAGCTATAAACATGGCCAAACTCTGGAACCTTCCATGTCTGTTTATTTGTGAAAACAACTTGTATGGTATGGGTACAAGCACTGACAGGTCGGCTGCAAATAATGAGTACTACACCAGGGGTCACTATATACCAGGGATACAGGTACAGTACTGTACAGTATTTATAACAAATTTGAGTCACGTTATAAAAAAAGAGCTCAAGTTCTGGTGAATATAGTTATCAAAATTGTCAGGAGGAAATCAATCTGCAGTTAAAGATAATGTTTTGGTACTTTGTGCCCTTCAATGACAATACAAAAAGCAAATCCAGCACTCAGCACCTGATATATGATTTCAAAGAAGGCAGGATAAATTTGTTTCTCCTCTCATGTAAATTTAACCAATGAAGCAAAATGGAACTCTCAGAGAAGCTAGAATCAAATTTTAAGGAAAAGCAATATTAATTTATATGCGTGGCTTTTTTATGTATTTCTCAAGATGGATGGTATGGATGTCCTTGCTGTCAGGGAAGGAACACGGTTTGCAATGGACATATGCAGGGAAGGCAAAGGACCAATTATGATTGAAGCTAAAGCATATAGGTACCATGGTCATTCCATGTCTGACCCTGGTACTAGTTACAGGACCAGAGAGGAAGTTCAAAAGATAAGAAAATCTAGAGACCCCATTAACCAATTGAAGTCAAGAATGCTTGACTCTGGAATGGCTTCTGAGGCAGAATTCAAAGTACAGTGTGATCATTGAAATTGAAATTAAAAGTGAATATGCATTTAAAAAAAAATTGCTTTCAGGGAATTGACAAGGAAATTAAACAAATACTGGAAGCAGCAAGCAAGAAAGCAAAAGAAGCCCCAGAAGCCACTGATCTTTATGGCGACCTCTATGTCAAAAATCTGGAGGGAAAGCTCAAGGGCACAACCAGCATGGACTATCATGATCACCAAAATATTGGAAAAGCTTGTAACCTGGATTAAACACTGCTCTGCACTTACTTCATCAGCCTTGATGTCCAATTTTTCCAGTGTTTACTCAAGACAGTAAAATCATTTTTGGAGAAAATCTTGAAGGTTCTTGCATTTAGCTGCCACAGGGATGTACTCAAATCAATTGTGGCCTCTCTTTTCACACTGCATTAATCTCAGTAGATTACAAAATTAAGTTTCTTCTACTTTGACTTTTGCCAAATTTTTTGCGCTCAAGTCTTTTAGGGTGACATTCTGAGATTATGTTGGTGACAGGATGCTGACAAACTTGGTGCTGGCAACTTGCCTGGCTGTCTATGCAAGCTACAGGCCCAACAGAGTGAAGCGCATGGGACTCTTGCTAGTGTTTTTGATGTCATTGGACTTGTATGAAAGGGCAAAGGAAGAAGTTTGTGAAGACGAGGGAGGAGAGGAAGAAATCAAGGAGCCTGGTGATGAATCTGATGCTTCTGGACCACCTGCTGGAGAATAACTGAAAAAAGTAACCAAATTGATGTAACCTTCAGTGGTCCCCGTGGAAATGTTTTAGTGAGACTTTGTTCCCTTAGGTACAATTGCATTCATAAATTCTTAATCTTAGCCAAATTTTTAGAATTACATATGCAGGCTGTAGAGGAAATTGTTAAAGGTTTTGGAAGAGCTTATGCCAGTTTTTGGCAAGCCACTCCTAATCAGAGTGCCCCTCTGTCTGAGGAACAAGTGTTGTTTTGCATGACAGCAGGAACCTTCCTAGCCCAAATCATTCTTTCCAGGAGAAGAACCTCAAGAAAACTGTATTCCTGCTTGCTCTTATATGTGATCTGTGATTGGAAAGACTTCTGAAGATGTCTTGCTGTCCACCACCTTGTCCACCACCTCCATGCCCTCCACCCTGTCCTCCTCCTCCATGCCCACCACCACCAAGGTGTCCACCACCATGCCCACCTCCTTGTCCACCACCATGTCCCCCAAAATGCCCACCACCTTGTCCACCTCCACCCAAGTGTCCTCCTCCATGTCCACCACCATGTCCTCCTCCATGTCCACCACCATGCCCTCCACCTTGCCCACCACCATGTCCTCCTGTTTGTGGTGGATGTTCTCAGTGCAACCCGGAGACTACTAGCTGTGGTAAGATACATTTCAAGTGTGCTTTGTATGTCCAGCAAACTACAACACTGGATATTGTGTAAAGCCCATTTCCATAAAGCCCTTCAACCCCATTATTTTAAACTTATCTTTTCTAAATCATTGCAGCACAAAGTCAACATCTTAGATGAAGTAACCAGTCATGCTTGGCATTGAACCTTATGTTTTAGTCATGAGACTGAGCTTGCACATTCAAATTCCAATCCATATGCAGTAGTTTAAATCAACTAATACATATAAAATGTAACCTTACCTTCAACATTAACAATAAATTACATAAGCATTCTCCATAACATTAACTATGTTTTACTTACATGATTTAAAATTAAATGACAATAATTGGGAAATTATTCAAAAAATGAAATATGCAGAAGTTCCAGAAATTATCAAGTCGCATAGGATGTTCTACATTTCATATGAACACTGTTAAGATTCTTTGGTTCATGCAAAAAATGCGCCACAAAGATCAAATAGTTGCCAACTAATGGAAACATTGTTAAAGCAAGAATCTCATGATTGAAATTATTCAATCTTTTCCCAGGTTTGCCACATCCAAACTGGATAAAACGCTTGGTTGGGGACATAGTGTGCAAATATGAGGACTGCGTGTTTGTAGCATTGGCAGCATTGTTCCTCATGTATGCATTGAAGGACTGTCAGCAGGGTCTCAAAAGACTTATACCTGCAGCATTCCTTTACCTCTACATGGATTTTGTGGATATTTGAACCCTAAAACCCCTTAAAGGTAATATCTTTTCTAAATCATTGCAGCACAAAGTCAACATCTTAGATGAAGTAACCAGTCATGCTTGGCATTGAACCTTATGTTTTAGTCATGAGACTGAGCTTGCACATTCAAATTCCAATCCATATGCATTAGTTTAAATCAACTAATACATATATAATGTAAACTTACCTTCAACATTAACAATAAATAAAAGCATTCTCCATAACATTAACTATGTTTTACTTACATGATTTAAAATTAAATAATAATTGGGAAATTATTCAAAAAATGAAATATGCAGAAGTTCCAGAAATTATCAAGTTGCATAGGATGTTCTACATTTCACATGAACACTGTTAAGATTCTTTGGTTCATTCAAAAAATGTGCCACAAAGATCAAATATTTGCCAACTAATAAACACATTTTTAAAGCAAGAATCTCATGATTGGACTTATTCGATCTTTTCACAGGTTTGCCACATCCAAACTGGATAAAACGCTTGGTTGGGGACATAGTGTGCAAATATGAGGACTGCGTGTTTGTAGCATTAGCAGCATTGTTCCTCATGTATGCATTGAAGGACTGTCAGCAGGGTCTCAAAAGACTTATACCTGCAGCATTCCTTTACCTCTACATGGATTTTGTGGATATTTGAACCCTAAAACCCCTTAAAGGTAATTATAGCAATCTCATTCAGGGTGAAAATTCACCTTAAGAGTAATTTCAGGATGACAAGGCACTTATTCCTTATCTTGGTGTGGATGTGGGTGAGGGGCGCAGAGTCTTTGCTGTGTCATGTCTGTGGGGCAGACAGGACCAATGGAACTGGAGCTGTGTCAAGCGGTATGCTTTCCAGATGTGAAGAGGCTTCCTACTATTCAAGGGCACTGACCTCAAAATATCCTGGTACCTTTGTTTAAATGAAAAGAAAAACAAATGGAAACTTCAAAAATTTATTTTTTAATCCTGCGATTTTACAGTGTTGGATGGCAAAGGAAAGTCCCCAATATCTTGTGGGCATGAGGACAAAGGCATCCCAATAGAATGCAAGAAAAATCAACCTTTTTGTCTCATGATTGCATCCAATGTCTGCATTGGAACAGTAAGCAAAACAGTTCCAATCTTTCCAAAGCTTGATATGAACCATTTTATAATTTTTTTTATTAAGAGGCAACCTGGACCTCCTACCAATGATAATACATGCAACCAGGATTTCTTCTACTGCTGGCAAAAGGGGTGTGGAAATTTGGATCAGATAAGGGAACAGTTTCTACCCCCAAGGATTCCAGGGTGCAAATATCTGGACCATCCAACAAGTGAACATGGAGTGGATGTGAGGAGGACCTTGGTTTGTGTTTGTGACACTGACTTGTGCAATTCTGATCTTGCTGACTTGACAGGCTCAACTCTGCCTGCTATTTATAAGGACCAGCCTTACAGGTACACAGAATTTAAATGAATCCATTCCTACAGTTCATTGAAGATAAGAGAGAAAATAACATTTTATTTTCTCTCCTTGGGGTTTGGATGAGGGAACATTGCTTGAACCTTGTGAATTCTGAAAAGCAGAAAATGAAGCTTGCTGTTCAATTCAATTCAAATAAATTACAGAAATATTTTATTGCTAAAAAATTTCAAATGTTTTTCGCTTATTCCTTTTTTTTAAAACCGAAATTGAGCATTTTTCTTTTTGCACTGCAAGACTTTTCACTACCTTAAATAAGCAAGTCGTCGAGTAACCTTGAGTGGGCAAGATGGATTTATTTGTTGAATTTTCGATTTTCATCACAATATATAATAATTTAAATTGTTACAAGTTACAATGTTGCATTGACCTGATCAAAACGAGCGAGTGAAAATTTTCCACTGTACAGTATTGGGTGAAGATTATTCATATTAAACACTTCCAGTTTCAAAGATACATTTTACAAATTCATTGCTTCATTTCAAATTCAGAACATGTTTACAGTATTTCATCTCGCAAAAATCGAGACTTTATTTCCTCAGTTTGCAATGCTCCAAAAATAGTTCTTGAATTCAGGATAATTTTTGGAAATTAAATATTCTTCATAGGAAATTAACAATTTGAATTGGATTGGCAGAAGATCAAATTATAGATCCTTATGTGTAGTATTTCATTTAATAGTTTCACATTTAATTTCAACACGGCGTCCATTTCAAACCCAAAATATTTCGCATTTCCTCTTGCAAACATGAATGATTGCCATTTCCGAAATTCGCTGAGATTTTAATTATATTTTAAATTATAATTCATATTCCTACTTGAAATCTGAAATTTTTATCTGGGATCGGGAAAAAATTGCCATGATATCTTTAAAATATAGTACTGTACTATATTGTATTTCCGAATAATTCGAATTGAATCAAACAGAAACTACGAAGATGACACGGGTCTGCAAATTCTCAAGGACGCAGCAACTGAAACCAACTACAAGATCTGGGATACTGAAAACTACAGACCACCCAGCGATTGGGAAAAGGTATTCCTGACACCTTATGGCCCAAAACGGGACGAAGCCATTGCAAATATTCTCAATAAAAAGCCAAACGAACCTCGTCCTAAGCCACTGACTGAAGAAGAACGAAGGAAACTGGAACCCGGCGTTAGTCACGATCTTCAAGACAGATCACTGAAAATTTCTCTCGACTCCTCATCACCATCACCACATCCCCGTCATTCCTCATTAATCCCACTCACGATGATTCTGATCCTGTTTTCGTTTTGAAAAAATAAAATTAATTTTATTTCTCGACTTTTTCTAGTTTCTATTCTTTTGGCTTTTTATAATAAAAAAAATAGTATTTGGGAGGTGGTAGTTTCAACCAAGGCGGGAGGCTTTGAATTGGAGGTTTGGGCTACAAAACCAAGCTTTTTTTGTCCTGGGAAACCTAGAATTGGACTTCAATTACTTCTTGAATGAGTTGAAATGATGCTGAACTTAGAGGCAGGGTTCATTTGCACAATTAAGTCTTTCACTTCCTTACAAATCACATCAATTTCTGCTTTTATTGCTTTTTCTTTCTTGTGTCATGAAAATAATAGCCAACAGGCCACAGAAAATTTGACTAATGGAGGTTAGAGGGGATAAGTCTTGAAATTTGGGAGGTTTTTCATGCATTGTTTAGAAGTGAATTCAGACCAGGACCTGATGAAATTCAACTTAAAGAGGTTGAACTGTACAAAAGAATCTTATGAAAAAATACAGCTATAACAAAATTTCTCAGAACTTAATTTTCTGAAGTCCTGAAAAAAAGCCGGTAATTTATATGTTAAATCAATCTAATAAAAATCATCTGCATGCAAGAAAAAAGTTTGAGGAATGTTTACCAAATTCTTCAGTTTCTAGAACAGAAAGAAAAATGCTGCCATAAAAGCAAGATCTATAATTGATTACAGGCATGTCTGATGATGTAATTGTTTCAAGTCTTTTATTTTGAAAATCTTGTCACAACAAATTATCAAGTAAAGCACAAACAATTTTTCTCTTAAGTACCTCAAAGTTAGTTGTACATAAATTTTACTGTAAATGTTATAATTCTAATCTAATCCTTATTCCTGGAGGTTTTGCGGATGGTATATTTTCTTTGATGGGCAACGAATGCCAAAAGTTTTCAGTTTTCCGGCTTAAAAGTGGGTCGATACTGATTCTCATTTCCTCATCAATTACATAATGAATAAATCCCGTTTTCCTTTCAAACATGGGCCAAGGGACAGGGAATCTCTTGTCACTTTCCGGTGTAGGTTCTCCGTATTTGGCAAAGTTCGTCCACATGTTCATTAAATTCGCAAGCACCGTCTTGTCGGATTCATTTCTCTTCACATGCTTGAGGAACGCAAAGTTGAACATGTACAACATGTCATCTGCATGCGCAACTCCTGAAAGCATAAGTTGATACTAAGTTTAAAGATGAAAGAATGAAAATGAAAATAAATTTTCTTTCCTAGTTTGCTTTTCCCCTTTGTATTGACCCTCTTTTGCACTTGGAACAAGCAGATGATCAGCCCTTCAGCAAGGTTTTTAAAATTAATTCAATATTAATAGTTTTTAATTAACTAAATATTTATACCACTTTTAATTAACTAAATATTTATACAAATTTTAATTAACTAAATATATATAGAATTTATACAGTTTTTTAATCATCTCAATATTTATATAATTTTTAATTGACTCAATATTTTTACAGTTTTTAATTAACTAAATATGTATACAGTAGTAGAATGTATGCAGGAAGGCCCTTGAAAAGTTATAAAACTTGTCAAATGGCAATGCAACAAAGTTGGGATACAAATTACAAACTTAAATACACCTCACAATGAAAATCTTACTCAATTCAAATTGGGATATATTTGTTTCATTGTTTCCTTGAGCAATGACAAATCTTTTGAATTTTAAAATTATCACTGTTCAAATGATAACGTCTTTTACAATTTTCAGCCTAAATAGGGAACAGGTGTTGAATTTAGAGGGATGTTAAAAATTTCGCAAATTTGTCTTTGCAGAAATGGAACAACCTGTGAATGAGGTACCTTTTGGTTTAGTGAGGTTCAGCCCAGCAATGTTTCCACTGGTGTTCAATTTATGGAGTACAAGATCCATCCAACCCAAGGTGCCCTCATGCTCAAATGTGTAAAAGTACACAGGCGAGTACCTGCTGTAAAGCTCAGCAGACTTTTTTGCACAGAATTTGAAGCCTCTGTCTCCAGTCATCTGTTTATTGTGACAAAAGTCACATATGATTTACAGAGTGGATAAACAGAGGGGGAAATAAAAAGCAACTCTGACCTCAGTTAGTTGCTCTAGGTCCTCTGAAATTTGCTGATTGCCAAAGTAATGCATCTTGGTTCTCCTGCACACATCAGCCATCTTGTCAGCATCAACAGTATCCAAAATTTCCAGAAGGACAGGGCAATATGACAGCCAATTTGTGTCCAGTTCACTGGCCAAAGTTGAATTTAAAAAAGCCTCTGAAGGAAAAGAAGATATTAATTTATTTCAACTTCCTGAAATTCAAAACATTTTGAAGCTGGAGATAATAACAATTTTATCTTTAAAAATGTGCCTTGTCTTTTTTACATCTATTCCAAATGCTTCAAATCAAAACTTGTTGAATTTTGTAATGACAAATTCATCTTAGTCAAGTATTTTTTTATGCAGGGATATTGAATGGGATTTCATTTTACAAGGTAAACTTACTGTGTGACATAACAAGGCCCTCATCCTTTGTGAATCCAGTTATGAAAGGCACTCTGTTGAAATTCCCAGTAGCCATTAAGTCCACTGGAGCCCTTGGGAACACAGGGTCCTCATTGAAGGAATCAACCACAGGACCAAATGAGGTGGGAAATATGAACCATTTCTGAAAACAAAAAACATGTGTTCATCTTGATGTGATGTTCAAAAAATCTAAAAACAAAGTGTCATACATGAAAACTTCCAGCAGCTTTCACTATGTCCTCAGCATGAGCAGTTCTGAGACAGTGAATCAAATCCCTGGTGACACTCACTGGGCAATTCAAAAGCATTCCCAATTTCCTAGCATTTCCAAGTCCATTTTCCTGAAGACCACTGGGACACATTGTGCTTCCACTCTGCGCTATTGCTGCATGAAACAAACCTGCGTATAAAAATGTTTTTCAGAAGTCCACCTGCTGCTGTCAACAAACTCAAAAATCCTTTGGTCAATGAACATTTTCAACATTTAGTTGAAAATATTTCGCATTAGGTATTACAAAATGATTGCAAAGAATTCATTTTTGCATTAAAATAAACATTCCTTCCTCTGATGCTGGTTCCTTACAATATGAGCAATCTTATATTTTTCATTTGCTAGTGTTGATTTGAATGTGATGAAATCGCTCTTCCTGTGGATTTTCTTGCTCTTTTGCTCTATATTTTGAATTGTGTCCATGTGCTTGGAGCTGTCATCTTAAAAATTACACTTTCATGCGAGACAGTTCTGACTTCAGTAATTTTCCATAAATTTCTAGGAACTTCTGAGAAAGAAATCAAGGTGGTGGCACAATAAGCAATATATAGGATTGCCCAATATTTTTTAAAATTTCAACTGTATTTTGGAAAAATTAACCAATTTATATCTTCTTTATTGAGGAATATATAAAATTTAATTTTGGAAATAAAATTTTGTCTGGAACCAATTAGGCTCATTAAACAACAGTTGATGGTATATTATGCCTTGCAGAGTTCATGTGCAATAAGGACCTTTGGCCAGAGGAGAGAGGACCAGGTTGTGCACACTACTGCCTCCAGCACTGACTCCAAATATGGTGACCTTATTCGGGTCACCTCCAAAAACTTGGATATTCTTCTGGACCCATTTCAGAGCCAGAACTTGATCCAGGATTCCATAATTCCCAGGACTTGAAGAATCTCCAGTTGAAAGAAACCCTAAATGGAACAATCATTTTTTTCAAGTACTGTACAGCAGTGGTTTCAAATTCAGCATTAAAAAGGGGGAAACAAAAAAATGAACCTAGTGATGATAGTCTGTAGTTGAAGGAGACCATCACAACCCCTCTGCTAACAAAATGCTCAGGACTGTACAAACTTGTCCTGCTGCTACCCTGAACATAACCTCCTCCATGAATCCAGACCATGACTGAAACATCTTCATGCTCTGCCAGCAAATCCTACAAGAATAAGAAGGGAATCTCAGGAGACAATTTCCAGCAGAATAATACAGGACCAAGAGAAAATATGAACTCACAACAGGAGTGAAAACATTGATGACTAAACAGTCTTCTGTTCCCACAACTTGCTTTTTGAAGACATCAAAATGGATGCAGAATGGGATTTCCCGGTTGCTGGCATCCAAGACCGTGTCCCATGACGCTGCAGGAATTGGTGGCTATATACAAGAAAAAAGTTTTTGCCAATCATGAAGAATGTTATTGTCAAGACTCTCTGCATAATCTTTAATTTTTCAGGCATAAAAAAGTTCAACTGACATGCCTAAAATTTCCAAATGGACATCATATTCCTCATTAAGGTACAGTACAAGGTTTCGTTCTCCATGTTATATGCGCTTTTATATTTTTGCTTTCTGTTGCATGAATGGAGATTGACATTATTTTCATGATTAACATTTTATTATTTCCTTATACTCTCAGATCCCACTTTTGGTCCTCTAAAAAGAAAAGAGAAAAGAACAAAGTTGTGAGGAGATGAGGTTCACTATGCCAAATTTCACAAATATTTTGTATACTGTATTATTTTGCAAGGACAATTTTGTCAAATGTTTCAAATTTTTAGAAAAATTCCTGATGACCACTTCACACTCAAAGAGCAAATATTTCATTGGAAAAAGTTTTCTGATCCTGGATTTTTAAAATTTATTCTGATTCCAAGACAAGAAACCTATAAAGTATCTTTTCCTGTGGCGCAACACAAAATAATTCATTCCTGGATAAATTCACTCATTCATAACACAAAAACCATTTAGATTAAAATGGAAAATATTTGTTTCAGCCAGATCAAAATCAAAACTCCAAATTGACCCTTGAAAATTGGTTTATTCTAGCAAGTTCTGAAAAAATGCTTGAATTTTGCAAAGAAAAGGGGCACAAATGTAAAAATGTCTGATAATATCACCTTTTCCAAAATAGGCAAAAATGGCTCTCGGAACCCGTACGTGATGCCAAACTTTGTGAGCCTTCTTTTGAAATGTTTGGGTTGCCTTTGCAAAACTTTCAAAGCATCAAAGTTATATTACTGTACTGTGCTAGCTGAAATTATCGAATTTCTTCAAGAATTTTGTCACGAGGGACCCTTTTGCCACGTGAGTCTCTTTTTAATTTTTCAGCCAAGAAAAAATTGCATTGCGCATTAAAAAAAACTATTCATACCCACGGCACTGCCAAAATGTTGAACCACTCCTCAAAACGTTCTGCTGAATCTCATGAGTATAGAACCAATAATTTACAGGACCATAGAAAAACAAAGATAAAAAAAATAAAATGAAAAATTAAACGCTCACTTTGAATCTCAAATCACCCACAGGGGCACTCGCATAGGGAATCCCGGTGAAGCTGAAATACTTGCTTCCTCCGAGCCCCTTTTTCTCCATCCCCAGAACCTTCCCGACATCCATGGTCACTTCGACAACCCTGACACAGTCTTGCTGACCATCTTGTCTCCCCAACGCAAAACACGCATCAAGAAACCAGACGCTCCAAAGAATCCAAATAAGTGTCCCCTTCATTCTTCCCGAATACCACGTACAGAACACAGAAGCGACAGCAGCAAGGCACTCGCAACCCCGATGACGAACAATTATGAATGCTTTGCTCATATGAACACCAAGGCATATCAGAGGGACCACAAAAAAAAAAAAACAACGTGCACAGAATGATCCCAACCGGAACTTATCCCAATTTCGTCCCTGACGAATCATAATGAATTGCACAAAAAACCAAACAGGATGCTTGCGACATATCATACTCTCGTCAGCATCAAAGCTCTTCTCGCTTCCACAACTTTGGAATGTTTTCGCGGATGGGCAAAGAACGCCAGAATTGATCCGCAGTGTCGTCAATGAGACTAGCATCACTCAAACTCAATTCTTCATTGATCACGCAACGAATCGCGTTTTTATTCTGAGGATCGTATTTGGGCCAACGGAGAGGGAATTTATTGGCGTCGGTGTCTGGAGTAGGATCGCCGAATTTCGCAAAATTCGTCCACAGGTCCACGAAATTTGCCAAAACCTTCTTGTCGGATTCGGTTCTTGGAACTGAGTGAAACCACGGCATATCAAACAGGTAAAACATGTCATCTGCATGCGCAACTCCTGCGTGAAATTTAAAATACAAAAATCAATCAATTTAACAAACTAAAGAAAATCATACAAATTGCTTCCCACGTAGAGACTAGAAATGGAAATACAAGATTAAACGTAAATACTATTTATCTCGGTCATTGACTTTTAAACAGAAAAGCATAATTTTCTTTATCGTCACCGATTTTTTTTTTTTTAATCCTAGCTTCAGAGGGTAATAATCACGCAGGAAGTGAATACGGTAAATAAATTATTCAGAAGAAAATACACCACAGGAATAGAAAATTTCAAGAATAACGAAACTTCCCATTTATTATAAACATTCGAAGCGATGAAAACTTGCCTTTCGGTTTAGACAAATTCAATCCTTTGATGTTTCCTCCGAGTTTCGTAGCTCCGATCACTAAATCCAACCATCCCAAGGTTCCTTCGTATTCAAAAGTATACAAATAAACGGGACTGAATCTGCTCTGCAAATCTGCACTCAATTTCGCGCAGCTCTTGAAGGAACGTTCACCAGCCATCTATCAAACAATAAAGGGAAAATTTGAATCTTGACGTACGAAGCACATTTTAAAAAAGGAGGAAAATACTGTACTTTAGTCAATAGATGCAGGTTCTCGGAAACCGTAGCATTGCCAAAGTATTGCTCTTTGATTTTCAAACAAACTTCGTCCATTTTATCCATTTCCACGGTGTTTTCGATGTCGAGGATTAAAGGACAGTATTGAAGCCATTCTGTATCCAGCTTCCGGGCGAGTGTCGAGTTCAGGAATGCAACTGAAACATCAGAAACACCCCTTCAAAAAGTCTTACAGGCCCCGGTTTACGGACACGAATACAGGAACTCTCCATTTATTGCGTCCGCATGTCGAAACGCGTACATTATTCAATAACTGTCTGCAAAAATTTCAAATTCCGGCAAAAACTGAGCAATATGAACTAAAAATAGCCCGAAGAATTTCACAGGAAAAGACTTCTCATCAACAAGGGAAAAAATTTCAAAATCAAATTACCCCGGGAAATAAAGGAATAATACATAAAAATCACGCACAGAGAGAATCAGGCTGTTAGAATCAGTCAACAAACGAAATAGAAAATCTGCCATTCCTCGGATATAAATTGAATTTTCCTTCCGAAATCCTCGCAATATTTCAGTGTTTCGCTCAAGGCACCAAGAAAAAAAAAAGAAAAGATTTTACTCGTCGCTATTCACGTATTTTGGCAAAACGAAATAATGTGAAATGTAAGAGCAGATTTGCATATACGGCACCCACAAGCTGACATGCAATAGCCTTCATCTTCCGTGACTCCCGTAATCCAAGGCACCCTATTGAAGTCACCAGTTGCCAATAAATCCACCGGGGCTCTAGGAAAGATTGGATCTTCACTGTAATTACTGTCCACAACTGGACCGAAAGCCAGTGGAAGGAGGAACCATTTCTAGAAAAAAAAGGAAATGAAAATCCATAAATAAAATCTCCATAAACAATGATGCACGCCAGAATTTGCAGGATGCACGGAATCAAGATCGACTAATTATGCTGTCAAGCGAAAATCAATAAAAAAAAGCGAAATGTTGTTTCAAATGCAGAAAATAGCCAAGAAATTATTCCACAACGTATGCATAAGTTTCATCATCGAAAAAGTTTCTTTAAAACGAAACTGATAACACTTTCAAGACCAAAGACTCACAAGCCACGCCAGCCGACATATTTTCCACAAAAAAAAAAAACAAAAAAAAGTTGAATTTGCCACACATCGTCATTTATCATGCCCTCAACAATATACAATATCAAGAAGTACTGCATTACTAAAATAAGCACTCGCAGAGTTTTCAAAGGCTGCTCTCTAAAATTTGAATCTTCCTCGCAAATAATAAAGTCTTCAACTCACATGAAAGCTGCCCACAATTCTGACGAGTTCTTTGGCAGGAGCCCGTCGTAAACAATGCAACATTTTCTTCGAAGTATCCGTGGGGCAATCCAGAAGTTCCGCGAGTCTCTTCGTGTTCGCCAACGGCGCATCGGCGATTGCCCAATCACAAAGTGACGTACCACTCTGAGAAATAGCGTACTTGAACAAGCCTAGAGATATTAATACAAAAGGTTCAGCAAAAAGCAGTTTCACATCAGTAAACAATTCGATTTTTTTTTTTAACCTTTTGCAAGAGGCGACAGGATCAAATTGTGCACACTTGATCCTCCGGCGCTGATTCCAAAAATGGTCACTTGTTTCGGATCCCCGCCAAAGGCGTGGATGTTCTTCTGAACCCAGTTGAGAGCTTCAATCTGGTCCAAGATCCCATAGTTTCCTGGTGCTGAATGGTCTTCGGTAGACAGGAAGCCTAGTGGGAAATATTTCAGAGAAACAATAGGACTAATATAGACTGATATAAAAATCCACAGTATTGAGGGTTGTCCGCTTTCTGCGCAACATAATTATGATAATTTTAAAAATTATTTCAAATTTGTTTCACCCTTTTCGGCCATCACTGAACATTTGGTTCAATGCTTCAAGCCATTAAAAATATCCTACATTTTAAAGAAATCAAAAAATTGTTCCCATAATTCGCTTGGATTTTAGCCCCGTCTCGAATAAATTTTTCAGGACTACTGTACTGCATTCCACATTTCGAGAAAACTTCGCAGAATGAGGAATAATAAAATAGCCAAGAACAGAACTGCTTCACGGAAAGGATTCAACGATTACAACATATTCGGAAGCTATTGAACTTGCATCAAAAGTCCAAAATCCTGCGAAGGGAACAACACGAGTGATACAAAGTAGTCAGGAAATTAAGTTAAGACTCCAAAAAGAGAAACGAAATACAGTGGTTGAGAAATTATCAACCATTGCATATAAATTTTGCTTGACTATTGCTTGACTACTGTACAGTACATGACATCAGAAAAATTAAATTCAATCGTCAATTTCTCCCAGCTTGACGCAACCGGAATGTCACAAACCGTAATTATTTTTTACGAAGACCGACAGAACCAAAGATTTTACAATTTCAAATTATTCGGAAGCGATTGAACAACCAGGAACTTCAAAATCATGCCAATGGAACAACACGGGTGATCAAAAGTCTCAACAGTGTTCAGGAAATCATGAAATTCAACTATGAAAATATTGCATCAAATAAAGGCCCCGAAAAAGAGAAACACAATACAATACTGTACTTGGAAATAAAATAAAAGTGGAGTATCAACCATCGCACCTACATTATTTTTGTTTGAATATTGCACAACACGTCACAGATGACACGATAAAAACTTTGTTCCATCGTCAATTTCTCCAATCTTGACGCAACCACGATGTCAAAAACTGCAATTATTTTTTTTTTACGAAGACCAACATAAGCGGTATGATTACCTAAAGACGACAATCTGTAATTCAAAGACACCATGATGACGTTGCGGGACACCAAATGGCCAGGGCTGAAAAGGTCGGTCGTGCTGCTACCTGCAACGTAACCACCTCCATGGATGTAGACCATGACCGGGAGCTCAGGCTCCACTTTCTCCTTCAAATTCTACAGGAAATCAAACAAAGATTTATTTTAAGGTCCATGAAATCTCGGAAACGTAAACGATTTGTTTCGTAATTACCGCCGGAGTGAAAACATTGACGACCAGACAATCTTCGACGCCAACTACTTGTTTGGTGATGAGTTCCATGTGCATACAGACCGGGACGGATTTTGAGCTGACATCGAGGACGCCATTCCAGACAGGGACTGAACTTGGTGCCTGGAAAATGTGATTGTAATTTAAAAATATTTCAAAATAATCTGCTCTAGAAAAACGAATAAAATTGATCGAGTGCTAGAGGTGCACCAAGCTTTCCATTAGATAAAAAAAAAAAACATGAAGTTGGTTTGTCTCAAATTGGTGAGAGAAAAATACTGCATGCTGAACAAATTCAATTTCTGACAACTAAAATCAGAATGATTTTGGTCACCTTGGTGATTCTTTTTTTCTCTCATAAAAAAACAACAAATCTTTTTTTTAATTTGTATCTTTCAAGTATAATTCAAAGGAAGTTTAAAAATACACTTCAACGAGTTCAAAACTCTTTCCTTGTATTCACTCAAGTACCACGTGCACCTCTTTCCCAAAATTAAGCAGAAAAAAGGGTGCGTTTCATTGGCAGGCATAACATTTTTTAAATCTTTGAAATGTTTGGCGCACCTCATACATATACCGTACTTCATTCCAGCAGCGTATTTTTAAAAATTCGACAGACAATTAAAAAATGGAACTCATTAAAAAAAAAGAACATTCAACTTGACTGCAATTCAAGTCAAACTTTCACATTCTGATGCATTTCATAAAAAAAAATTTTCCGTTTCAGTCTTTAAGAATGGAGTGCGCGTCTTACTTGGGGATACATTTTTATCCATACGTCCAGGTGAAAAATGTGGGTGCGTACTTTACTTGAGGGCAGGTGGTACTCGAGTAAATGTAGTACTTCAATCAGTGAAGGTTGCCAAGTGCATAAGCAGGCAATTGATGAACGAGATTTTCATCAATCTGATTTCACTGAGTCTGGGCAAGTCAGACAGTTACATACAGTATATACACATCAGAATTTATATAGTTTCCTAAGAAACAAGGTCAAGGGTGTACATCAGTAAGCCAACTTGGATTGGTTGCAAGTTTTGTAAGAACCAAGTAAAAAGAACTGTTCCAGTTGGGAACAGTATCAATACATTTAGAAATACACAATGAGTAAGTGCATCTCAAGAAGTGTTAGCAGGATAACTGAAGGAATTCAGTATTTGGTCATACAGTCAAGCCCCTTGAAGACGCCCCTCCCCCCAATAAGCCACCACCCTTGGCAACTGCTAATTTATTTTAAAAACAAATCTTCCCTGATGATAATAAGATTGAAAACCCAAATAAAACGCAATTTTTCAAAATAGTAACTCAAATATACTCCTGTCAATTTTTTTTTCACATATCCCACCAAAAAGAATCAAGTTTCTGTGAGAGGTTTCCAAAAAAACACGAACAGGAAGATGGCATAATTTACTTTTCGGGAATTTTGACTATATAGGTAATTCACGCATCCCAGGATTATTTTGATTGTTTTCTGGAAGAATAAGAATTTAAATTCTTATTATACCTGTACTTGATTTTCAAATTATTCTAGCTTTTTCATGAACCAACCTTTTTAAACCATCACAAATCTAACAAATGGTTTCGGTTTATTAAGGTTTGACTACCTTTTATAACACAATCTTGATAAAAATGTGCACATTAGGGAGGTTTGACTTAGCAAGGTCCAACTGCCACATGATCAGTCACATGAAAATGTTTTTTTTTTCAATAGTGAAAACAAAGCATAAAAATAAAAAGTAATAAAAAAATGAATCCCGCTTTCACCAAGCAAATCAACACATACCTTGAACCTGAATGGTCCCACTGGTGCGCTTGCGTATGGAATCGCAGGGAAACTGAAATACGTTATTCCACCTGGCCCAGTTCTTTCTCTACCCCGCACGATTCCGGACGAAATTTTTACTTCCGCAAAACTTCCTCCAACCGCAGGCTGAGCATCGCATCGCACCATAAACCCCAAAATAGGGATTATTAAGCTGAATACTGACACCATCCTGCTTAGCAAGAACAGCAAATTTCAGTGTTTTACATGAAGTCAAGCAAAAAATAGCTCAGTCAACCACAGAGATAAGATACGCGAACGTACCACACAACAACAGAATCACAAGGAGATGAAGCAAATCTTCCGTGAAATAGAAAACCAACTTTTCAGAACATCAACACTCTCATGAAACCTCCCAGTTGAGGATCCAGATCACAATTTATTGGCAGAAGCTTCTCCTTATTACAACGGAGAACAACTGGAATTCCATTTTAAATCACGCGCACCTTCGATACTTGATAAATGTCCAATCATGAATAGTATAAGATAAAATCGATCATTCAAAAATGTTCTTCGTCCGGTTTAATTCTTGAAACCTTTGTTCCATCGTCAACCACAGTTTTCCACACTTACTCGGATTGACGAACACCTTGGAAATTCATGAAACGAATACACATGATAAAATGTCATCCAAAAACATCACCCTGAAAAACAGAACAAAATTACGCTGCTCTAATCACACGATCAACTATGACCACGTAATTAATAAATACAGGCACAATTCATATCTAAAAACCTTGCAGGGAGATCGATGCTAACAAAAAAGGACAGAATCATACAAAACTTCAATTCGTTCTACGGATTTTCTATTAATTTTTCGCGGTACAGGAAAATAATCTAACACAAGATGTCAAAAAATTAAATAATAATTTTAATGCAACATTATTTTCCACACTTCTCCGCTCTCTTGATGGAACTCATCGAAGAACAGAATTCTTCCTCAAATAATAATTACTTCAAATACAAATGACACAAAAAGTGAAAATTTTCAACCGAGGAGTCCGTCAGCCACAATGAATAAATTCGCTTGGCTGTACTGAAATTTCGCCCGAATTTCAATTTAAAATCAAACCTCATCGTTAATTCAATTAAAAACTCGTTCAAATCGCGTGAATCGGTCCCTAGAGTAACTCACCTCAGGCCTAATTATTCGTCTTGCACAATAAACTGCCTCAAGGTTTCCGGAACGTTGGAAAACTAGTCAAAATCCGCCAGCAAAAGCGTCCAGATAAAAATCTCACCTTTAAAATTACCTCGCTTATTTTTTTTTCGCTGCTTTGATTGAAAATCCAAACATCACGAGCACCACAAATAACCGTCGAAATCACGCAGTCGAGAACCATCACGTAGCGTACCGTCACCCGACGAAGGCGCCTTTCCCTGGATAAACTCAGATAAGATAACGCATTACTCAAGCACGCAACAAGAAAGCTAAAATTCACTTCTTGAAAAAAGGAACGAGGAACAAAAAAGGAAGGAACAACAGGAAGAGTGATTTGAATGAATTCAACTTCCTTCGCTCTCCAAGTTTCTCAACACGGAAGATAAAACCAGCGGGATAAAAATAGCCTCAAACAACCGCCTCGGGAAGTCGTCAACCCTAGCACATCCCGCACGGAACAAAAATACGCCGCAAAAGGAAGAAAAAAAACATTTCCACAAGCACCCGAAATAAATATAAAATAAAATACGAGCAAGAGCCGCAACAATCCTTGTTCAAAAATCCAAAAAATTTGAAGGAAGGAGAAGAAATAAAAAGCACAGAACCTCGTCAAAATCAGCACTTTGAGATCCAATGAACTCAGAACAGAGCAACACTCACGCATTATTGTTTCCTTCGGAAGATCACAATGTTCACGGGGGTCTCGCAATAAAAAAAAAACACCAATTCAGTCATTTTCCTGCTGTTCCGAAACAAATTCTCGGCGAACGTGGGAAGGTTCAAAAGTTTGCAGACAATCTGAGGGACTTACACGTCCATGCATCTTTTTCATAAAAAGGTTACACATCCAAAAGTTTCTCAAAATAATCGCCATAAAGTTTTGACACACTGAATTTCCAACAGCAGCTAATAGTTTAAATTAAAATTCAAAAATCGTTAACTCGGAGGAAATCATGAATATTTGCAGAAAACAAAAAGTACAGATTGTCGCCCGAATAAAAATGAACCATCGTTCATTATGATTTTTTGATTAAAAAAAAATCTGCTCTGAAAACGAGTGCGTTCATCTTCGTTAACTCAGATTATCTATTCCCAGACCAACAAGTAAAAATTGAAAAACGCGAGATTCTGTACACATTTTTGGGTCATCCAGGCTCATCATGGTAACCTTTAGAAATCGGTGTACGACAGACTCAAGAAATGATCGCGGAGTTGCATTTTCAAGCCACTGAAATTTGCACATTTTCTTCGAAAATATTGCGCTGAAAAATCTACGTTTTTGGTGGTTCCTCGACAAAATGAAGCTCCCATTTTATTCTCAAAATTCATATGAATTCATCTTGGATTCTCAACTCTGAAATATGAGTTAGAAACAGTAAGGTTTCCAAAGTTTTAGCGATGGTTTTTCTCCGAACAAATTCTGAAATTAAAGCCGAGTTTAAACAAGCGGATTTCAAGATGCGCTTCGAGCGGTGTATCCATCCATCAAAAATATGTTAAATATGCGTCTGCATTGATTGAAAGAGCTTTCTCTTCATTAAAAAAAGGTCATTATCAATCCTAATTTTTTTTTAATCTTTCGAACTTTCCCAAGCGCTTCATAAATAAATGGCCACCAGAAAAAAATAAAAACAGCCCGCTCGTCTGGCATTTTCCTGTCCGACTTCGGAACAGCAGCAAAATACGGAAACGCAAAAACTCTTCTTTTGCAACGGGAGAGAGCCAAAAAATACTCGTCACTTGTCCCATGTACAGCACTCAAAAAAACTCCAATTTTTCTCTCTCTTTTTTTTTTTTTTTAAATATAAGCTTCCTTCGGTTGCTCGACCCTCTTTCACGCGGAAAAAAATAATGACCGTCAAGTTCGTTAAAATATGACACATTCCCAAGAGCAGGGAAATAAAAACAAAAAACGAACTGCGAACCAGAAGAAAGCTCTCGGTGTTTCTCTCTCTCACATACGCCTTTTCTTTTTTCTCTCGCGGGGAAACAAAATAACGAGAATTCTTTTTCACAGAAAGTATCATAGTTTTCTTCCACTGATTCAAAAATGTTTTCTCCTTCTTCTTTGTTAGCTACCCTTGTTTGCTCTACGTTTTTCTCTTCTTTTTCTCTCACTCAGTCTCTCTCTCTTTGGGGGACACGGACGTCTAGGGCTGCTGGCGCTACGACACAACGTGGGTGCTCACAACCCCGGGATCCCGTTCTTTCTAGCACCCATCAACAACACCATTCCTGATCCACAACACGCGGATTATACATGTATATTTTTTTTTTGCAAAAAGGCCTTCAACCCAGAACCAACATTTCCTTTTTTCTCCTTTTCCCGAAAGTTTCCGTTGTAAAACTGACACTTTTCTTTCGAGGTAAACCTTAAATCCCGCACTCACCTCCCCCTTGCTAAAAAAAAAGGAGGTTGGAACCCTGACATTTCGGAAAAGTACACAAAAACATTTCCAGGTATAAAAAAAAGCAATACCATTTCACTCCGACGACACGGAGGAAAAAGTCGAATCGCTCGAGGGAACACGAGGTCCATGGTTGATTATCCTCCTCCTTCCCCCATCTCGCACAAAAAAAGTCCCCGCTGTGAGCACCCACGCAACAAGGAATTTCGCCATTCGCGTAAAACGAGAAAAAAAAACAGAACAAAAATGGGATTACACACTTCTCTTCAGCCGGGACTGGAACGCGTTTTAAAAATAGACACGTTCCCAGTGCTCTGCGCCAGCGGCTGCAACACTTGCTGCTGTTTCGCTGGTGAAACTCTCGGGTAATTTTCTTCTCCTATCGGGAATTGCCTGCAAAAAACGACGAGAAAAATTAACGTCGAATATGAATTACGTCAATACGACCAAAATTGACAACTCGTAGGAAAAGATACAAGTGAAGTTTCGCCAAAAATAATCGTCACAACTTATACGGATTCTTAGAACAAATGTCCAAATTTGCTGAAAAAAAAATTATGGAGTGACTGAACAATTACACTAGAAAGTAGTGGAAAAGGTCTGACAAAAGTTGTAAACATAATAAAGATCACATAATTCAAAAGAATTCAAAGAAGCAACGCATAAAAATTTCCCAACAAAAAATTAAGACCAAAATTCCCCATATGTTCACACCATTTGCAAACATTCATCACCAAATTATCATACGCGTAGGTTATCCTATACAGAATTATTTTTTCCAAAACGCAGTGAAGTCAGTGTTTTCGTCGCGTTTCAAATAGATTTTGATGTGTACAAAGAATTGTATTAAAATTGGCAGTGAAATTCAGGTAGCCTCTCTCTCTACAACGATTTTCTGTGCACAGTACAATGAATTTTTCTGGATCCCAGAGGATTCTCTACAACAATATTCGAATGATCAGCTTTTTTTTTAGAGAGAATTTCGTTGTAGAGACAGAGTGCATCTGTATTTTGAGAAAGTTGAGCCATAATCAAACAGGAAAACGTCGGCCCTCGTTAAAATGCTGCATACTTGAAAAATAAAACTCTAACCGAAACCTTTCCTGACCACCTCAAGCTCTATTCAAACACCCACAAGTCAAAATTTCAAGAAAAAGAAAAAACAACTTTATAGCTGAACACATTTCACAAAAATAAATCATGCACTTACAGAGAACCGATGCGATTTCTCCGCCGATGATCGTCCAGGTAATCCGTGTGGATTCTCAACAACTCCTCAACGTATTCGCAAAGTTTCTGCAACGTAATTTGCAGAGTTCTGCTGAACTCTGGTTCAGTGTTGACATCTGGTGCTTCGTACCAACGGACCCCATAGGCATCCGTGTTGAAGTAAATCGCCTCACCGCTTCCGCACATTCCACTGTCTGCAGTCGTTTCATTGATTCGACCTGTTGAAAAACCATTATTAGTATTCATGCAACGGTAATCAAAATTTGAAACACAAATTTTCCTTATCAATGCGTCAGAGGAGAGACGAATCGTTTACGCATTGCGCTTGTGATACTCTCGAGAAGAATTCAAGAAGACTAGACGAAACAAAAAATTTCGCTGAATCATTCTGTTGTTTTCCTGGACAATCTTGAAAACATGCTGAAAAAATCCAGTCCAATAGTCAAGGTTAAGTTATGCAAACTATTTCCATATTTAGTATTTTTTATTCAAGCTTGGTTTATCTTTCATGGAATTTTTTTTCAATTCCGGATGGTATATATGCAGAAGAGGTATTCTTTTGTCAACCTTTTTACTCAATCTCTTCAATATCCCGCTTGAACAATCATTTTCCTCATTTAAAAAAAAATGAAGCATGAACACAGAAGGGCTTTTGTAGGTAACCTCATCTGATCAAAAACTTGAAAAAAAAACCCTACACCCGAACCAAGCAGCGTTGACACAGAACATAACCCAATCCGACATACAGTAAAACCTAAACTTTTCAGTCTACATAATTCACATTGATCACACGAAATGGTTTTTTTTTTCTTTGAGCAGATTTGGTATTGATGAAATTACTCCCATTACTCCCATAAAAAAAAACCATAATTGGGAGAGGAGTGTTCGAATCCCCTTTCGCAGATAGTCAACGCATTTACTATCATCGGATAGTCCTGTTTCCTTTCATCAGAAAAGTACCAAAAATGAGAACATATTTTTGAAAAATTACTCGAGTTTCCGCAAAAAAGATCATGCTTTTCAGAGTTTCCCACCATCTTCTGTCGGTAGAAAAATAGTCAGAAGCTGATGGGGCATTGGAAACTTTAATGAGCAAAAATCTTCGCGCCATCGTGCGACGTGTGTTTCCTAATATTTTTTTCTCTTTTAAGAGACAGAAAGAGAGATACAAATTGAGTGAGAAAGGAATTAATCGATAAGAGGAAAGACGTAGTGGAAAGGAAACGTACTCAGGATCCCACGCATCTCGCCCAGCTTGCTCGCACACAAATTGTAAATACACTCCATCTCTCGCTGCACGTCAATGTTGAGTCGCACGTCGCTCGTCGTCACTGGCTCGCAGCCCCGGTTCCGCTCGCAATACGACTCACAACTGTTGTTGAACAAACGGAGGAATCGTGTCAGGGAACTTCGTCGCTCATTCATTCACAAATACGCGTCGGGGGACCTTTCCAAAGTTCAAAGACTGCACGGCCTCGATAAATTCCTACCCAACTCCTGTCCACACGAGAATCTCTAAGCATGAAATTATATCTCCGAAAAAAAAAAAAAAGATAAGTTTTCCCACTTTCCTCTGGTAGCTGATGAATTTTCTTTTTCATTACACAGGTGGACTCTCTCTACAACAAATTTTTTTTGGATTCCACAGGGTTTTCCCTACGGGGTTCTCCGAACAGAAATCCTCTTTACAATGAATTTTCTTCTGGTCCCTTGAATTTTTTTGTAGAGAGAGTCCACCTGTTCATGGCATCAAAATTAGTCGGATTTCAACAGCAACGACACACACAATCATCAGATGATCTAAAATTGATTTGAACATGGATTGCTTTGAAAATGTTATTTAAACTTTTCGAGGACTGGAGAGAGATGCTACAAGGGATTCCAAAATTTCAATTTCTTTCGCTTTCGGCGCCAAAAATACGCAGGAATATTTTTAATTTCATTTTACAGTACAAAGGTTTCCGCTTTCCACTTCTCAAAATTAAATTCAGACTATTTCAAAATTCTTCTGAACACTTCGTCAACCAATTTCATGAATGTTCTCAGCTGCGGGAAGCTCGATTTTTTTTTCTGGATTTCGACACACAGATGATTTTTCGAGTCGTTCAATCATTGCTTGTAAGGGGGAAACTTGATAAACTCGATGGAGGAAGCGGTCCAATTTTTTTTTCTCGAGCTTTACATATGTGTGTTAAAAGTCGAATTATTTTCCGTTAACAACACACTGCCGAGAAACAATTTCCGGGTTAAGGCGTACGTAGATAGATGGATCAGGCGCATTTACGAAAGCAGATTTAGTTAGCAGAGAAATCCTGAATATACTCTATGTGCTTTCAAGCTTGTCAGTCAACTTTTGGACCTCCCCTCGAACATATCCCGGATTTCATGTGCATATTTTCCCAGATCTGTTTCCTTCTCGACTCGACGTACGCACCATTCCCATTTCCCATCTCGGAACGCGCCAGGGTGACATTTCTCCAGTCGGTTCGCGTTTGCCAACCGCACCCTGTTCAGCGACTCCATCCACTGCTTCTGCTCCACGCAATTCTTCGCCTAAAAACGCATGAAACCATCATTAAACGTCCATTATTTCACAATTACAGTACTCTACATCGCAATTAACTGATACACCGAAAAATAACTGCATCTTCCCTTGTTTTTTTAAACAGAGGTACGGCATTCGGGTGTCCAGAATTTCAACACCTTTCATTTCGGTGTTGCCAACAGTTTCGTTTAATAACACAGGTTCGGATTCGTGAGCGAATGTAAACTTGCACGATGTTTTAGAATTACAGTACTGCACTAAGAGATTTTCTGGATTTTTTCCTTCTTCACTTCATTTGATAAAGAAACACGTACTTTTTTTTTCAAACGCAGAACTGCGACAGGAAAGTTGCGTTCCGTCCCCACTAGGATGTTGAATTTTCTTTTGACCACTTTCTTAAGAAAACTCGCTCGAAATTTTTGAAAAACTACAGTATTTGCTTGAGAGCCTATCAACTTGCAACCCACGGCTACTACAGAAAAATGAATCACGGACAGTTGGATTAAATTCAAAACTTTTAACAGGTATGCTTTGAGAGAGATAAGAAAAAACTTTTGAGTCCATAATTCAAACGAGAAAGTTTTCATAGTTTCGCAGATTGGAAAAATAAAAACCGGGACCCCTAAAAAGCCCCATCACTAACTTTGGTTCCCACAGGCTCTGTCGAAGAAATTTATCGCAAAAAACAGAGAGAAGTTGAAAATTTCTTTTTTGACGTTCAATACTGTATTCAGCTTTCAGATATTTCCGTAAATAAATCCGGGAATCCAGGTCCTCCTCAGTAGGTTTCAACGCACGCTACGAAAATTGCGAGTTTTCGTTCACCATTTTTCACCCTTGCAACATTCTCTGCTCATTTTTCTTTTCCTTCTGACATACGAAACAAGAAGACCACTTAGCAAGTCCAATAATGCCGTATTCACTCTAGTATTTTGCGCAAATTTTTTCCAATGAATAAAATTTCTGATTTGAAAATTTCCCCCCTACTTTTTAAATTACAGTACCGTATTTTCAGAGTTTTCTGTTTCAATGATACTACTGTATTATGGTATTTGCATGGAACATAAAAATCGCCATCGCATTAGATTTTTAACTGGGCTTGAACTTACCGTAGATTTTTACCCGACATTGTTTTAGAAATAAGAATTTTGTAAACTGAAAACTGAGGCGCGCGCCTTCTGCCGGGATAAGATTTTTTCTTTGGCAAATATTCAAGGTGCGCGTCTTACTCAAGAGCGCGTGGCACTCAAGTAAATACGGTGAGTAGGCTTATCATCGGCTGAGGAACGAAAAAAAAAAAAAAAAAACCCCGGTACAAGAGTA